TTATAATTAATATTGTGTTCTCCTATATATTCATTTAATATTTTGTGTTTAACAATGGCTCCACCTCGTTGTGAAAGTAATCACAATTCTCTTAAACGTTATGGTTCACCTAAACGCGATAATCTTCGTGTTATTGCCCAAAACCTCACTCGAAGGTTCGGTACCGAACCATCGTGTTTCTGCGACGCTAAAGAATCTAACCGTCCTATTAACTATCCCTATATTTATCGAGCACATATTTGTTATCTAATTAGAGTCATTGCTTGTATGTTCACTTATGAAGAGTGTTTATTCAATTTCACCAAAAAGAATTTCTGCTTACAAGTGAGTAACTAACTCAATATTCTCTTTTATATTCTTCTCATCTCAATTTTCAAATATCATCTCCATTTTTCTCAATACGAAAATATATTTCATTACAATTTATTTCTTATTTTTAGGTACTCACGGCCGTCCGTGTACCTACTAGGACAAGATACAGGCTCATTCGCAAATTTCAAACTATGACAAGTTGCAGTTCTGATGACAGGAAACCATTCTGGTTCTATCCACCACTTCACTGGCACCCTGAAAGGCCCGGGTCTTATTCTTTAACTAAAACATCCATTTGCCATACATGCTACGACATAGACGCTATGTTTGTTCTATTAACCACATACGGGGAATTCGAGAGGTTAGTTGCTTTATCAATTTCTCAACAATATTTCATAAATTCTTATCAACAACTTTTATCCCTTTATAAATGGTTTCTAACAATTTCAGGGAAAATCAAGCTATTGCAAGGAATTGGGAAATTGGCTACAACCAAATTTCAAAAATTTTATCTTTGCTTACAGTGTAAGTACTTGCTATTTTTTCTTTTAACCTTTCACAATTACTCTATTCTTATACTCATACGCCTGTCTCTAACCCCACCATATTTTCCATATTCATATTCCCCTCAATCAATCCTCGACATGTACTTTCCTTCATTCAATCCCAGACATGTTTTCCCCCCTTATCCTATTCGTCCCACTCCTGAAACCACCGCCCAACTTGCATGACGTATTTTCTCCTCTAGTCAATTTTTTTACTCGTCTAAATTTTAAACTTGACTTTTAGATAAGTTATTTTATTGTAATTTATATTTCTGTGTTATATTAAGTGTTGCAATACAGTAAGTGACTTAACAATAATTGTAATGATTACATTTTTAATAATCTTCGCGTGCCTAACCTAACTGTTTCTCCTTGGTATGTAGAACTTACTGTGTCTTATTGTATTGCTCAATTTTGAATATTAACTAGTATTGAGTACGTTTATTATTAATTATGTATCACCGTTATCAAATGATATATTTTGTAATCTGTTTTTTATATATTAATTTCTAACCTAGAATATTTCCCATCACGTGGATACTATACAATAATTAATATAGGCCTACATCGGTAATTTAACATCAATTATATTATACTTTTAATTTCCTGCTTTTTATATATATCGTAGTTCCTTTCATTATGTATACTAACACTTTATTTACTGGTTGGTTTCTATAGTCCATATACCACCGCCATTTTATCATCCTACGGCCTCCGCGCGATAAGTAGTCTCAATTTTATCAGCTTCATCCTTTAATACCATTCAAAGTGAATCGTTATCAATCTGTTGTTTTCTTATATCTCAAGTTATTATTTCTGTTTATTTGTATTTTACCTACTACGTTAACCTTAATCTTTTACTTTGTCTTATCAATGTTTTTTCACATGACCATTACGTAGTGGTTTACCTCTCTTCTGCAGCACTCTCGCATTCAAAACTTTTATCGTCATCCAGTCCTTCTTTTTGTAAGTTAAATATTATACAATATTAATATACAATCTATTATTACTTGTAATATCAATTACTAAGTTTTACCATACTCAGATATTCACCCGATACATCAATTTCAATAGTTACTTTGATAAGTTCTGAAGTCTACACTTCGTTATACTACGAATTTATTCTAGGCCTATTTGAGTTATTATGTTTACAAAACCAGTAATTAATTTTCATTATCGATTCAATCTCATTTAAATATTATAATTTCACATGGTTTTGTCAACAATACTTCTATTTTTAGCCTTTAACCAATTACTTGACCACCCACACTCTTCACCTAATTCTCCGCTAGGCCTAGGTTCAACTATATTTACTCCCACTTCCTATCTGGACTTTACGTACTGTACTTTTACACCTACTTGTTAGGTATTATTCTCCCAAATATTAGTTATATAACTTATCATCATCAAATTGTATAATGTATTTATATCTATCTTGACAATTACATTATATATAAGCCTAGAAAAATCCTTTTAACCCTATCTCATATTTTTTTTCTTTTTTTGGAACATGTCATTCAATGTTACACTCTCATTATTTTTTCAATTTATTCTTTATATTATATGTTTATTCTCATTTAAAAATTATTCTTAGTTCATATTTATTGTTCGGTCTCTTTCTTAGTCATCAACTGATTCACGACAACTTACAATTAGGCCTATATGCGATAGCCTAATATATTTTTTCCTAGGCCTATATCATAATTTAATTGTCAAAATTTTATCATGCTAATTAGGCCTAAGCATATTTTTTAATTAATTTATTTTTACATAGGCAACAATTAGAAATGGTGTTCCAAAATGAACAAGAATTTCAATATGCTTTGGAGGACATGATTTTTTCCGTTAAATGACTTCCCTGATTTCTACCGGACAGCTTTTACATTGATTAACTTTAAGATCGTCCCACTCCTGAAACCACCGCCCAACTTGCATGACGTATTTTCTCCTCTAGTCAATTTACACTAGTCTAAATTTTTAACTTGACTTTTAGATAAGTTTTGTTATTGTAATTTATATTTCTGTGTTATATTGCTGCTTACATGCTAATTAGGCCTAAGCATATTTTTTAATTAATTTATTTTTACATAGGTAACAATTAGATATGGTGTTCCAAAATGAACAAGAATTTCAATATGCTTTTGAGGACATGATTTTTCCGTTAAATGACTTCCCTGATTTCTACCGGACAGCTTTTACATTGATTAACTTCAAAACCATGCCTTATTCGATCCAAGTCAAGGTAGTTACGGCTTGTTTTGTTAACGGTATATCTCCTGATGTTTTTGCCAATTTCCTCCAACAGTGCTCAACACCACCCGATAAAATATTCAAAGCCATGCAACTTTGGAAAGATCTATTGTTCAGCAAAATTGGTGATGCTTGTTATGAATATTTTTCCTATAATCTCTATACTCGCTCGTTCACTTACATAGATGGTAGGCCAAGACACACTATGGATAAATTTGAACCCCTACCAAAAGATATACCACTATATGGTACTTCGAACCCATCTTCCATTCACTATTCTCCGCAGGTTCTTAACACAACTATGTCACAATTGAAAGAAGGGACAACAATCCAACAGCTTCAAGTAGAGTTATCAGAACTTGATACCAAGCTTAAAGAGAAACAGAACGAACTGCAGAACCATCTGGAAACTGAGAGCAGAATGAATCATTTACTAAATCAGAAAATTGAAGAGCTACAAACCCTCGAACACAATCATAGGACAGAAATTGCAAAGTTGAAGGATAATCATTCGATATCCATTTCTAAGGCCACTCAACTACTCAAATCCCAGAGACTTGACACCACTAAAGCTCGCCAAGTTGTCTGTCGCATGAAGTGGGATATCAACCAGTTGAAACTCAAAGTTGAGAAGATTACTGAAAAGATCAACGAACATGAAGCGCAGGATGCTGCCAATGCATTGTCTATTCACGAAAACAGTGAAACATCTGATAGTGAATTAAGATCTACTGATACTGGATTTTCATCTCCTAATATTAATCAGTGTTTCTCGTCAACACCTAAGAGGGGTTGCCAGTGCCAACCTTCCCGGTTTATTGTAGGCAATGACAAATTTTTGAAACTATGTGGTCAAAAAGTTGATAACTTTGTCTGTGTAATGTGTTCTAATCCTGACACTTCCTTTTCCTACAAAGTCAAAGTGGGTCCCATAATTAGAGGAATCAAACGTAAATCCCCCTCGGACTCTATTGATTGCGACAGGTGTGATCCAGTTGTTAACTGTGTAACTGATCCCGAGTATGCTATCATGTTTTGTGGCAGTATTCCTCCAAATGATTTATATGTCAGATTTTGTGGTCTTCCTGATGGACTGCGTTCATATGAACTTGTTCAAAGCCAAGGGTAATAGCTTATATTTAAATTAAATTTTAATTACTAAACTTTACCTATTTCATTGACAAAACCATGCAATATTAGTATAACACCTAATTATTTTATCATTGTTTGTTATCACACTGAAATATTAGCGCCAAAAAATTTATATTTCCACCCGAAAACTAATATAGGCTATTGTTAGTATCATTTCACACCAAGTAACTGTTATAGGCTATTGTTATATATGCTATCAAACCAAAAAAACTATTATAGGCTATTGTTAGTATGTGTCACACCCAAAAACTATTATAGGCTATTGTTAGTATGTTATCACACCCAAAAAACTATTATAGGCTATTGTTAGTATGTTAGCACACCATAAAACTAATGTAGGCTATTGTTAGTATGTTATCACACCCAAAAACTATTATAGGCTATTGTTAGTATGTTAGCACACCAAAAAACAAATGTAGGCTATTCTTATTTCCATTCCTTAAAATCTATTAAATTCCAAATTTCTTAGTTACTTTATATCATTAATTTGAAACCATATTAAATACCAAATTTTTGATATAGCCATATTAAAATAATGTTCTGAAATGTAGTGAAGTATAATTGGCAAACATTATATACAAACATACTGTTATGTCCCTTTTATAATTTAATCAAAATCTTACTATCATTTTAATTTTTTTAATCTTTACAGGCCTACAACACCGACCTCGCCCAACCACCAAGACACTACTTCAGAATCCGTCAAATCAAAGTCAAACTCATCCAAACCCAATCCAAATACTTCCACCACTTCTGAATCCCCCCTTCCCTCGGCCTGTAACTCGCCTACAATGCCGAATCCCTCGGAATCTACCTCGCCCTAAATTCATATTTCATTTCCTCTACTTCCTTTCTCCTTCCTATTTTCCATTCCTTTTTTTCAAATCTACCTGCGTCCAACACTCTTACTTCTAAATCCCCTTTACATATTTCCCGTCCAGAATGTCAACCTCTGATATAGACGACATTGATGAAATCTTTGATGACTCTGAAGTGTCCCAACCTGCAAGTGATAACGAACGACTCGAAAGAGGAAGAAAACACAAATCGAAACTTCGAAGTAGACCAAATGTTTCACAGCCACCAAATAAGAAAGTTAAAGGTAAATATTTAAAATATTATACAATACCTGCTCCTATCTATTTTCTTTTTGGTTGTTATGGCAATATTTACTATTTGAAATTTATTCTATCAATCACGAGTCATTTTAAATTTTATGTTTTAACTTTTTCCTTAAATATCAATAACAATGGTCAACATTTGTCTAAACTGTACTCACACTTTCGACCAGAGGGCTCTGGCCACGAACAAATCAATGAAATTGAAGTGGCATAGGAAGCCGGTTAACCGAGCTCGATTATCTTCCCTACTCAGCTGTCTGCGTCCCGACAGGTTGTATGTCCATAGGCATTCGAGAGAACTTGCAGATACCTTACTACGCTGCCTAAGAGTCCCACGGACGACACGTCAACCTTTGCCTGTAGTAGATGGTGTCCGAGCCTACGTCAGTTCATGGGTCGAAGATAACTTAGATCATGTTGGTGATGCTGAGATGTCCATTCAGTATTGTGCGATTTGCTATGATGTTGGTCTATTGAGGTCACTAGTTCGGAACTATGGTCATCCGATAACGCCATTACTTCTTGAAGTTGGAAATACGGAACCGCCAGAGTCACCTGCTCTTCCACCATTACAACCATCGCCTCAATTTTCATTTGGGCATCACTTACCTTATACAAGCCCCCACCCAACAATTTCCTCTCCGCATATAAGTCCTATTAACCTGCCAGGTCCTTCAGGACTCTGTCAGTTTCCACCTGCCACGAACCCGCCAGGCCCGCAATCTCCCCCGTCATCCACATCGCCCTCCCCATACAGTCCGACCACCCACCGTCTGCGAATAGCCCCTCCCAGTGGATCCATGCAGGTCTTTAGGCCTAGTGCCTCTCCATTGAGGCTACCATCGCCAGTCCTTAGACGCAGTATTCAACCAACGGCTGGTTCCACCCCTCGATTTAGGCCTCGTGTTCTTGTGAGAAGAAATCTTCTGTGCCGAACTCCCACGCCCAGAGTTCCATATAATATAAGCCGGCGCATAACAAGACTTACCAATATTACTGCTGCTCTGAGGCGACAAGGATCTAGCCGACAAGGCAATGGTACGATTCCAGTCGACAGGCTGTCTTTGTTGGAACGGGAATTGAGGGACTTGATGCGACTGGCATCGCTTCATCGACAGAAAATGCCAAAGGGAAGACCGCGCAAGGGTTCTTAAAATATGGAGTCGAATTGTTCATTAAGCACACAATAAAACCAGTCCTCTATTATCATTATCATATTGTTTTTTTTATTTTCTACTATTATACATTACTAATTTTTTAATTATATATAATACCTAAATAATTTAATTATTAAATCTATAGCTTAAAATCTCGTTATTATTCAAATTATCATGCAATTTTTAACAGCGATATCCAAGATAACTACTTATTTACTTATAATAAATAATTTTTCTATTGTTATATTACCTATCACCTATATTATTTTATTTACCATTTATATTCATTTCAGGTTTATTGCCTTATTACTATTTATATTTTTTTATTATTTTCCCTTACAGTCCATGGAAGCGATTTCCAAAAAAGAAACAAGCCCGTGAATACCCGTGAACTAGTGAATGCACTTGATACCCATCAAGCGTCGTCTTCTTCGAGAGAGTCGCTCAATCAACAAACTGTCCAGTGTGAGTATATGTTGAAAAATATATTTACAAATGTTATTTTACTGTTATTTACCTATCTAATTATGTGCAACTAATCTGTTATTTATCTCAATTCTTATATTCAATTAATACCCCCTTAACTCCTATATCGTCTTCTATTAATTTCTCCGTTATATCTTAATGCTATTTCTATTTTCTCTCTATCTCCTCTACAACCTATTTCTCTTTTTCCACAGCTTCGTCTGATGTCCCGCTGTCTACTTCCCAAATGTCTGCCCAACCTATTACAACTAGGCGTTCGAGACGTGGTGCATACCGTTCAACCATATCATCTAGTCCGATACGCCATCAAACTGAACCTGTATCTCCATCTGAAGGCCGATTTCGATCATCCCATCATCCAAGCCGTCGTGCCTCTCGTTCTAACAAATCAAGATGTCGTTCTCGATCTCAGCCTGTACCCCCATCTGAAGGTTCTCAGCCAGTCGTCCAAGCTCGTTCCTATGATCTTGTTTTTGAAGCTGGTGGTGAATATGATCAAGCCCAGCTCGAGGGTTTGGCAGAAATAATTAGTGGTGATGGACCAGCAGGTAGATTGCAAAAGAATCAGCGTCGACCAACCAGTAATATCAGCATTCGAGTTTCATTTAAACGTTCCTTTAAACTCCCCAAGAATGTACGCTCTTCATTGTTTCAACTTTTTAACAATGAACTTCAATTTCAAGTGAAACAATGTGTTATTGGACTTGAGGTTCATGATTCTAAGCTTTCTAGATCAATAGCCCATTTACAGTCTTTTTTCCAGTTTAAAAATAGAGTATTTTTCTCCGATGTCAGGAAACACATAGTAGAACACTATGGCAATGCTATAACAACATTGGACGTAGGTGGTGTAGGCACTGTAAAGGTGTTCCGATCTTATTGCTCAAAGGATGACCCGGATTGTTTCAATATTGGTCCTCAGAAAGACCTTCATCAATTTACTCGCAATATTACAGCGCTCAAGGACCAGGAAAAATTTCAATATACATCCAAAATAGCATTTCAAATGCGCAATTGTCTAAATTACACTGAGAAGTGCCATCAAGAGCTAAGACTCATGTCAGTCCCTGAATTCGCTGGTTTTCAGTTTCATAAATTACCACTAATAGGTTGGTGCAAAGAGATAGTTGATCACCTGAAATACTTTACAGAAAACCCTAACAACGAAAGTGTGCGTCAGAGGCGTCATTTGGTACTTCATGGCATTCCTGGTACCGGCAAGAGTACTGCTATCAAACTTTTGTTCACTAAATTAGACCATGAACACCGTGTATTTTTTCCCAGGGATCAAGGTAACTTTATTCTTAGTGGCTTAAAAAATGACCACCATAAATGTATTGTTTTTGATGAATTCTCTTACAAACAGTACCAACTTAATTCGTCCCTATTCAAGAAACTCTTCTCCGGTGACACACTAACAATAGATGAAAAGGGTGTCAGCCTTGGTAACACCCTTAGTTGGTCTGAACCAATCATCTGCACAACCAATGAAAATGTGGACTTGTGGCTTGATCCAGCTCTTAAAACCAGAGTGAAGTTTGTTCAGGTTGATGAGAACATTACCGACCTTATTGCCTTGCATTGTGCTGCTACCGGTGAAGATCCGCTATCGTACAACCAGGAACCTGTAGAATTAAATCAACCTCCCAGAGTAGTAGACATACAAATGTCGGTTATTGAGGGGCTTGTTGAAAGGAAGAACATCACATATGACTACAATCTTTTCATCCCTAATCATTTGTTGGAACCTGTTGCTCAAGAGGGTGATTGCGATGATGACTTATCTCCACCGCGGTCGATTAGTCTTAATGAGTCCATGGCCATATCTCCAGTTCTTATTGGTTCAGTTGTTAACAGTCCGCATTCGCCGGCTAATCAAACTCGTCAGTCAGCTGTTCGTCTTCTACGCCAACCTATGCGCAAGAGGTCTTCTCATCGAAGGAGACTTACATTTGATTCAGATACCGAATCTCCTGCACATACTTCCGAACACCAATTTGCAACGCCTGATCGTCCTCCTTTATCTAGGAGTCAATCAAACCTCCGTTCAGTGATAAGAAGTCCTCATACACCTCATACATTAAACCGTCCTCCCACATCCTCTTGTACACCTTTAGCCAGAATCAAACCTTTGTCTTCGCCAGCACCTGTTAAACATACTACACCTGTTACACCTGTTACACCAGTTACACCATTACCTTCAATATCCCCCCAGTTGCTGTTCACACCTGTCTCCTCTAGATCAAATCACCTTGTTGCTACTCCCGTACCCCAAATGTTTCTCACACCTTCCGGAACTCTATACAATTCTCCCCAGCCCAGTACTAGTCGCACCACTCCTTCATTTTCTCTTATGCCTACATTCTCTCCCTTACTATCAATCAATCATCCTCCTAACATTCCTCAATCTCCAATTCCAGTTTCTCCCCAATTCAGTGTCTCCTCCATTTCACCCTATAATAGGCCTTTATCATACCAAGGTGTGTCTCCTCAACTTTTATCTACTGGTACCCAATCTCTTAATGTCTTGCTACCTCCCAATACAATTGTCCAAATGTTTCCCAATACCCATATTCCAACTCAGCCCCAACCCTCTCCTCTAAGTGGTATTGTTTATGATTCTGGTGTATTTTTGTCATCCTTTTCTGGTCAACCGTCATCATCTGTAGCTACTCCCAATATCAATTCTGCTGATTCTTAGTTTAACCATGCATGGTATGTATCCTATATAAATTCATTTCCCACATTAATATCAAATTTTTAACAAATAAAGTTTTCTGTACTAATTCCATTTTTATTTTGTTTTACCACAGAATATTTTATATATTTTTATGTCTATCACCTATTCATTATTTCAGTTATAACATTTTATTAATTTGCCATATATATCACTATTAACTCTAATTATGTCTTATCCCCTACAACTCTATTCTACATTTAAATGTAGGCCATTTCCTTTTAAATTCACTTAGTGCAATGTGCAATTTCATATTTCATCAACAATCCAATTCAAAGTATTATTATATCTATTGTTTATAATTCATCAATTTTGTTATTTACACAAATTCATTTTCTTTTTCAGTCACACGTATAGACCATGATGCATCTTACCTCAGACAACTTGAGCGAGACATCCTATTTCATGGATCCCAAGTTCCGGCTGATGCCAAAATCTGCTTCGATGGTATGTTCATAATTATTATTCGATTATTATTCACTTTTAACCTACTACTTTATGTATGTTATTCTCCAAATCTGTTTTCATCAAGTTTTCTCAATACAGTCTAATTTTATCTACACATTTTCAACTTTTATTAAATATTAAATAATTTCATAATAATACAAATTATCAAAATCTAATAATACTAATTCATAAGTATTACTCTACAGTTTGTTTTAAATTCATGCTGAAAACCTTTTGCACCGTTTCTTGTTCTACATTTTTTTTAGGATTTTAAATATTTAATTTAGTACAGTTATCATTTATAATTTATAAACAATCTTTCCCCTACTGTATTTATCTACTACAACTTCATTTTTCATATTCAAAACTTGTATCACTATAATTTTTTTTTCAGTTGTCAAGAAGTCGTCTTGCGCAGCCCTGCATCATTTGTTTTGCCATTGGTTCGGGCGTACTGTTAATGGGGAGTTCTACGCAGAACCAATCCTCACATACAACGATCCGTATGTGACCTTCACTAACGACAGAAGCGTCTCCTGGGACGTCAGCAACGATATTCCTGGACCAGTAATCACCCTATTTTGTGACTCCTTCCTGCCCTTCCGGCAGATTTAAAAAACAGAGCGGATCAAGGTCCACAAGGCGCTGAAGAGGTTTGGACGCAAGATTTTGCAACATTCACTCTACAAACAACCCAGTCCCCTCATTGCTAGCCTGGCTTGCTTGCCCGACAGTGCCAAATTTAAATACAAAAGTGGTTAGTTACTTTATATCACCATTTTTTAAAACATATTACATTCCAAATACTTTATAACACCATATGAAATTAATGTTCTGAAATGAAATACTCCCTCTACTTCTAACACAAAGATAAAATAATTTTTTGACAATCTAACAAATATTTTTAATCTTCTTTTAAGCTATTACAGTATTTACATTCTATTTCATTTTTTTATTGCCTTTTTTTAGGTTCTTTTAAGCGCATCATCATTGCTATTAATGAACCTCATTCAAGTAATGCCATCTATTATCGTTAACCATAATATGTTTCAGTAACCTTCCCCAACTGTTTGTTCGACCGGCAGAAGGTGGAAAACCTTTTTGAAGTGATCCTCACTGATGGTTTTGGTGCCAAAGCAGGATCCGGTACCTCAAGGCAGTTGACGGAATATGAGTCCAAACAACGAGACCAACAGCGTTACCGGGAGGCTAGCGATCAGCGTAGATTACTACAATTGAAACTAGAACGTGTCGAGGTACGATTATATCTTTTCTCTTAAAATTAATCATGTTGCTGTCTTACATAGAAATGCGATCACTTGTAATGCATTCAAACAACCGCATATTTATTTTACATGCCATATTTACGAGTGCCGTATGGTGCAAATGAAACCTCAATTTTGTAGTACAAGTACTGTCCTCTTCCCTTACTATTAATCACTATTTTCTCCTATCCATGAATGTTATCAATTCCAAATTATTGAATCAAATGCATATTTATTGTACATACCATAATTTACATTTGTTTTCATTATGTTCATGTTTTCTTTTCATTTTTCTCTAATCATTAATGCATTATTTAATTGTTCTAGGATTTGAATGCAACCTATATGGCGACCCTTGAGAATGGATTTAAAAACCTACGTCATCTCGCAACAACCACTGATGTACTTGCACGTGTTCAAGCCAATCTTGAGCAAAATCAGTTTTCGCCCACTGACGGGATTTGTGTCGAGCTCATTCGCCAAGTAGTTACCAAACACCAAACAACTTCAATTCTTGCCGATGTACTTAACATAATGGCGGAAGTTAGATCTATTGTCCAGTTAGTATTATTTTTTTCATAACAAAACCATTCCTATATTTTTTATTCAATATATTCACTAACAATTGCAGTTACAATTCATATATTAATTAAAAAAATTATTTCTCTCATGCCATCAATATATAAAACTTTCTTATTTATTTCTTTTCCTGAGCAAAGATTTTTTTTTTTTAATAATTTAACATTCATGTTTCATACATAACAATACATTTAAAATTAATTCATATTAATTAGTTATCAATATTAATTCATATTAACAAATAAGTTATTATTGTTCACAGATCTCAACCTAAGGCACGATGCATGTGCAGCATGACAAATTGTTGGACGAGTCACATGCCCAGGCTACACCCGGTGGAGGAGATTGTTGTTCGACCATGTCCACCTCTCCTACGATGTGAAAATCCACACAGGTAATTAAATTATAGGTTATTTTCTCTCATTAAATCAATTTTAGAATTCTGCTTTTTACTTTGTGCAACCAAGTTTTTTTCCACTTATTAAATAACTAAATAAATATCCATATACAATTACCATATAATTTATTTTTTCTAATACGCAAAGTTCATTATCCAATAATCTTTTTAAAACCACCAATTAATATCCCTTTATTTTTTTAATTTTGTTTTTTAATAATGCATAGTTATTACTACTTATACTATACATATCATGTTTCTAATACTCATTGAAATTGGCAGTGGTGATCAAACAACAGCAGTTGCCGGTGATGGTGAGGTTCTGTCCGAGCGACGCTCTCAACTTTCTCCTTTGGTAGATCCGTCTTCCACAGGCGCAGTTGAAGATTCTGTTGATGCCACTGATGGTGCCGTTCCAAAAACAACCAGCCCCGTCCAAGAAGCAACCATCCCCGTCCAAGAACCAACCATCCCCGTCCGAGAACTGTAAGTTAAAGTTATAGTTATATTTATATATATGTTCACTTTTTCCACCACAATGAAAACATTGTAGTACATCATACCTTTAATGACCATATCACTCTTGTATGTGTATTGCAAATGAAATGATTTTAAAATCAAAACCATGTGTTGTGTCTTAGGTTGAGTTTCTTCAGAGCTTTCTCTTCATCCTATAACAGATGTGTTCACTTTTCCCACCTCATTGGGAACATTGTACTACATCATACCTTTAAAGACTATATCACCCTTGTATTTGTATTTCAAATGAAATGATTATAAAATCCAAACCAATGTGTTGTGTCAGAGGTTGAGTATTTTCAGAGCTTTCGCTCTCTATCCTCCCAACACTCAACTAGAACTCTTAACCATAATCACACTTTTTGTTGTTGTGACAAAATTTTATTAAATAAGAATTTCATAAACATAATAATATTCATTTATCTTTTACATTTGCGCTCTTCTTTTTCTATAAAATCAGCCTTGTAGCACAACTAATTATTACCTCTTTTGTTCAGTGAACATGGTGACAATCAACTTGAGGCAAATGTGGAGGGTGAGGGCCCACATGTTTCTCCAAACGAGTGTCATGAAGATGAAGAGTCCCCCAAATCGTCCAAAGTTAAAACTAAGTATGTACGTTCTCCTTATACCTGTTTGTATACTGTGTATTAGTATTCTGATACCTTATTAATCTTTCATTTCCATTATACATTATAAAAAAATCTGTCATTACATGTTTAATCTCATTTATTAAAAAAATATAGCCTATATGTACAACAATTAATTCCTTATACAACAATTCACATTAATGCCATCTTGTGCGGCTTTCGTACGATTATCTTGTTGTTATTTGTCCTTAATTAATAACAAAAACATTTGCGTCAATATTGATTTCAATATTTTTTTCGTTTTATCTTTATACATTTCTTAATTATTTAATTCAATTCATTACATCTGTTTATAACCATGTATATTATAAACTTTCTCAAAATCATTTCAATTTGTTTGAGTAAGCGAAGTTATTTTCATTGGTTTTCCTTTTTTTTAAGGAAAATTGTTGCCCGAACCAGGAAGCAGCAGCAGCGCAAGAAGGTATTATAGGTATGCTTACTAACAATTTTTTTATTAACCTCTTCACATCATCATAAAATCTCAACATTATGCTTCCTCAAATCTATATTAGTTATAACTTTTATTTTCCTTTTAAATAACCATTCAAAACTATTAATTATTCATTCATTATATGCACTTACAACAATACTATACTTCCTCTTATCTTGACCCCCTATAACCGTATCATACCCATTAGAAGTTACAACTTTTTATCCCAATAATTTTTTTCAGCACATCTGTTTAACAGAAATACAATCGGCAGGAACTGATCGCTACTGAAATTACTTTTCCTTGTGTGAAAGAATATAAGTACAATGATCTCTTCATTTTAAGGCAAATACTCTATAGAGCATGCATTTAAACTGCCTGTTTATTTAGTTCAGGATGTGTTGTTTTAATTTGACAAATATGTTATCTGGACTTGCCTATGTTCAGAGGGTTCCGCATAGGACTCTGCTTTTGTATTGAATTACTTTCACACTTTCATTTTTCCCTATGTTAATTAATTTTTAATTACAATCTACAGTTTTATATAAATTTATATAATCAATATATAAATTTTCATAAAAAAAATCATTCTTTGTAAATCTTCCTTTTTTCTACTTTTCTCTATATCCAGTTTTGTCTGTTTCAGAAACGATGCCTATGCGCCGGTCCATCTCCCCTAACTGATGTCGTCGAAGAACAAAACTGTGATTGTACATAGCCTTATATATACTAGTCAAACTTTTATTTATAAGAGCTATGACCAACCATCCTCACATATTTTCATTCAATAACTATTTTTTAATTATAATATTTAACTAAAATATTTTCCTGATTTGTAACATTTTTTTTTTCGAAATTTCTTACGAACATTCATTTTCCTTCAATTGTACTTTTTTTTAAAAATATTACCTCATTTCTCATTTCAGATATTATTCTCACTATTTTGTTCAATTAATCTTGTACCGGGCCTTTTGCTATATGAAGGTACAAGTTCCTTTTGAGCCCAAAATCAAAATGGAAGTAAGATACAAAATTTGTGATTCTACATGAAAGTAATATTATCACATTTCCTTTCAATTAATTATTTTATTATATTTTATATTCATATTACATGTTATTCTTTTTATGAAGTACAATTGCAGTTACTAATCCAAATTTTACCGTATTTATTTAATCAATTTGTAGCGTTCCTTTTAGTTAAATTTAAATTCGTAATTATTCATTTTACTTTTCACTTTCTTTCATTTAGGATCATAAATTATTATCCTTAATTGTATGATATTCTGAATGGTGCTGAATGTGTTTTAACCACGATCCGTCTAAGCGAAAGGTGTATTTTTTATACAAGTATGAATGTTTTTTATATTTTTTTTATATTTTAGCGTTAAGCTAACTCTAAGGCCTTTCAATTGCCTTATATTTGGGGCTTTTATAGGTCCTGGCAATGTATAGTTCAAAATCCCAGTTGATCTGGTCGATTATAACAGCAGTGTCGAACCTTAAAACAAATTAAAACAAACAGCATTAATCCAGGCGGCAAGGCTCGTAAGGAGGCCGCGTGGGATCTGTCCACACATCATAGTAGTATGCTGGCATCCTGCTGTGTTGTAGTGCCATATTCCCGCGGTAACTCCATGCCTGTGCCGCATGTAGACGGATCGTTCCCCATTTACCGGTGTTCTATGTCCCTTTCCCCTTTTTTCCAAAGCCTGAACACCGTTTTGGCTAGCTTATGCTAGCCTTAATTAGTAGAGTCCAATTTCACTTCTTAGGCCCGTTAATAGTGGGGGGTCTAAGATTTTATCCTAGCCACTAACCTGACCGTTTGCCCGCTTTGGCACGGTCTAAGCACTAGATGCGTTTGTCACTTTGCTTACACCCTTTTTGTCTCTCTTCCTGTTTCAGTTCCTAACTGTCATTTAGTTTCACTGACTATTAGGGTGATTCATTGTTGTAGGTCAAGGACTGTTGGTCATAGTAGCTCTTGTGTATTATCTTGGTGTTTTTATTATGTAAATATATATTTAATGATTGACATGTTAAATTTTTTGTCATTTGTGAATAGATAATATAATGCTAAGACTGTATTTTATGGTCCATTTCCAATTTATTGTTGATTTAATGTCGTAGTTTTTTTTAATTAATCTTGTGTATTTAATTGTTATTACTGTGTCAATAATTGTTCTCTCAGTACTTGTTTAAGATTAAGTTGGTGATAGGAGAAAGACTGTACGTAAAATAGAGAATGACTGATATTAAAATTAATTCTTTAAGTAATCATGGTCAGGAGTGTTAAATTTTATAATACTTTGACATAGGCCTATAACCAAAGACTGAATTAATATTGTTATTAGCAATGTTGTATTATAAAGAATTGTGCAATGTCCATGTTATATTTTAAAACTTAAATATGTCCACATATTTTATTTTGTGTGATACAAGTGCTGCATATTTAATTCCATTGTAAATATTTCAATTTTTTATATTAAGATTAATTCTTTAATTAATGATGGTCAGGAGTGTTAAATTTTATAATACTTTTGACATAGGCCTATAACCAAAATGGTTTAATTGCTCTGTTTTTGTGCATGGCTTGCTTTTGGTTTTCTCTGTTTTGTGCTTTTTTATTCCTGAAACTCTGTACACATTATTTATTTATATTGTATTGACGTTGTCCATTGCATGCACATGCTCAACGGAAAATAAAGATTTTCATTCTTATTTTCAAAATGTATGTTAATTATTTTTCAAAAAAAAAGATTAAGTGCATTTTTAATAAAAACATGTTTTAAACTTCTTAAATCTGTTTTGATTACGGAAACTATGTCAAGACAAAAGAGTGTTAAGCAGTAAGTTAGGCTGGAGACATTTAATTTTACGGTTCGTTTAACAACGCTACTCTGTTAACAAAAGCTCGTGTATCGCTAACTAAACTGTACACATTCAGATCCCCGACATTATTTTTGTAATAAAAATGACATTATGTACAGAAACCACAAAGTTAATGTGAATGTGATGTGGGACTAGAAGTTTTTGTCTGGACTTTAAGGAAACACTTGCAGAACACGGGGTTCATCCCTAGCATGTTTATAACCTGTTTATGGATTTGGTCAGCTTCTCATGTAAAGTATCTGTGATGTCTCATTGATTGCTATTTACATTTGTCAAATTCCTTCAAACATCTTTTTACTACAGTAATTCTCTTCCCCCATGATAATTTGAGTATGGATTGAGGCATTGACAAACTCAAAATGTTACACAACATTTTACCTGTTTTTATCATTGATAATAACAACCAATATTAATTATTTTACCAAAACAGTACAGCTTGATATTATACTTAAAAGGTTAAAAGAACGAATTTAAACTTCACAGGACTATCTATAAAATCAAACGATGAGTAAAGGTGTATCGATGCTTCTGCTACTAGAACAAAACCTTCACTGGATTAAAGAACTTTCTGGCCTATGATGTAAATATAACTATAATATATATTAAGAGGATGTTACACCATTATTAGTTAAAATATTAACTTTACGACTAGTCTTCGTTTAAAAACAAAAGTTATTTGTATAACCTAACAATTGTAATTGAAACATGTTCGATTGATACTTCCAACAAAACTATGATCAGGAACAACTAAACTAACTATAAAATGTTTGGAGATCGGTTTACCATTAATAGGTACTTACTACCAATGTTCTTTGTGTAAAATCTTATGATTTATATTTTCGTCTCTTTTTCTACGGATAAATACTTAAAAAAATGAAAATACTCAAAATAATTAAGAGAATAAATTTAGCACAATGGTTTTACTACATCTACATGAACACTAAACCAAAACAACAATAATTAAACACATGTTAGAATTTAAAAGCCTAAACAAGTTTATAGGTTACAGATAGAGCACGGGACAAAATACTTGAAATTATGTCATTAATAAATAAACTTAACAAACTACTAATACACGATTTCATTACAATATAAAACTACTTTTACTCATCAAATTCCCTCTTAACAGAAATATATATTTCTTATCAAATGTCGACAATATAATTAACACAAAGCAGCTCGGAATCATCCTAAGGGGAGTATACACTATACAGTGTTGTGTTCCAGTAGAATGACTATTTGTAGCTTATTTTAACTTTGACTTTATATTCATTTTCATTTTATGTTTTCATTATCATCAGGAAAACACATATAACATATTTTTAATTATTTTAATAATGCATTAAAATTATACAATTATAAGGTATGTGCATTTTATGTACATTATTTTATTTCTTTACAAACATTCCGTAAACAATATAGATAGTAAGCTAGAAATAACTCTAGTGCAGTGTAATGTCAAATGGTGTGAACCAGGTCACCTAAATGTAAACAAGATGGTTGCCATGACAACAAGATTTTCCTATTTGCAGTGGTGCAGTCAGCCTGTACCCAGCTTATGTGTATTTATATAGTGTTAATTTCGAAATAGAGTTATAAACCTTAATACTGAAATGTTATGTATTTTAATCTTAGAGTCAAGTTTAAATACTAATAATAGGTTAAATACCTTTTTACGTCTTTAATCCTAGTCGCCATTTCCCGATGACTATAGTTTGGGGACAATCAGTCCCATTGTCAAATCTTCTGTCTTGTTAATTACTGTTAAAGCATTGGTCGTTGCACTCCACATGTAGTACATACACACACTGTCACACGAAAAATCTATATTTACATGAAACATTTAAAATTTAATACTTATGACTGGCCTAAACAAAAATAACTAACGTTGTGCAGACCGGTAAACTGACTCAGTGGACTCAGAGTATATTTCATTTCTCTAAATTTTAATTATTATTATAAACGTTATCAACTATACTGTATATAATTTATTTATGTCTGAAAAGCGCATAATTTGTAGTTATTGATAGATGTCCCCTGGTAAATATGGGAATAATGTAAACTAATGAAATAACTCATATTAGCTGGATTAAAAGAATTTCGATTCCGATTTGTTTGATTTGTTTATACCTTTAATGTAGTCGTAATTAAGCCTAATTGAAAAAAAAACCCTTATTCCAAAAGCATTTATTAATTAAATCATTTAGGTAGCCTTTACCAAATAAATGAGTGATTAAATTACGTACTTTGGACAAATAGAAGTATATAATTTACGGATGGAATGATGCTTCAACTCAGCTTTATTCATATGTTTCACTTTGTTCTCAATTCAATCCCTGTTTCGGCAAATAATAAGCTGTTCGTAATATTTGGAGTGAATATGAAGTTGGCAACTGACGAGCATAAAGTTTCATTTGTTTTGAGTCTGAGTTAATTTCCACGCAATCCTACAATTATTTGCTGTTGTAATTAGTCTCATTTTCTTGGTTCATTTAATTCATTTGCTTGATATGATGTTGTACAATTTCTTAATAATGCAAAACAAATTTAATTTCAAAATCTGAACAATAATAATGTTAGTAAAAGAAAACCCGCTTTTTAAGGTTTTACTCTATATTTACTAGGTTGTTATTAACTGTCTTAATGCAATTACGAATTTAACAGATTGTGTAATAGTTTTATAAATATTGAATGTCTAAATAAATTATACTTGATTTGAATTATAAATTGTATTATATAGAACTTTTGTTTGTATGAAATGTAAAAATATGCCTATAAAGGATTCAGC